TCAAGAAAATCGATAAAATAAAATACGTCATATTTGTTTATCAGTTCTGTACTAAATATTGCTGATTTATTATTTATAGACTATGATGCTGTCAAAACAAAGTTAAAGACATTGATAAACTTGAAATTTAAGAGTTCAGGCTATTAATAGAGTGTGAATGGTAAAGCCAAGGGAGAGTCTACTTGATTGTAGCTTAAAACTAGTCGTCAACTAGAAAATAAAACATAGAACCCTCCAAAAATGCGCTCTAAACCCAACATCAATCAAACTTTCCCATTCATCCTTTAAAATCCTGTAAAAAATAACAACAAAAATCATTTTCCATTCCTTAATGTTCCATGTTGTTTGCTGTTATCAATCTTCTTCCTCTTTTCTTCACCGCACACACATTAAACCAAACTTTTCATTTGAAGTTATACATACAAAATCTCCAGCACTTCCCTTTTATTCCATCTTCTCCTACTTTAGAAGAATAAATGAAAATTGATGGTATTTTCTATTCTATGCCATTGCTAACTTGAAGTATCTGTTGATTTTTCTTACAAATCATTTAACCGAGGAGATACATTTAATGTACATTAAATTAGGTTGAATAGGTGAGATGTCGATGGTGGTTGGAAAGTTCTTCCTAATTTGATTCCTGAGAAAAGTCAAAAAGAGCATGAAAAGTTTTTTATTTCTTTGATGTTGAAAAATTGCTTTAATTTAATTTTTATGCTTCGAAGTTTTTTGTGTGTTGGGAATGGAATCGATGATTTTCTATATTGAAATTTATGGGGATTGGAGTTTAATTCAGGAACGGAAACTTCCGATTTAATGCTAGACGTTCTGAAATATTTTACAGTTTGAAAAATATCCTTAATTTGCGAATAAATCCTCTAAAATTTAGAATGAGTCTAATTTGACTTGAAAGGAGAGTTTAGTGAACAATCCTAACCTCAAACTTTCAAATTCTTGTTAATTTAATACTTGACAGTTTATGACAGTTTATTTATGAAGCATCCTCTCATATTCGACATTTTACTCCTACTTTCAGCACCATCCAGAACCAACAACTCAATTACTTACTTCCTTACCTGGAGCGCACGTGGGCCCATTGCCGCGATCAGGGAACGTCTAAAGACAGCTCTATCCTTCGATACTATCTTCCAGTTTGGGATATTCTCTCTATCTCTATAAATTTCAATTTATTTCTTCCAAATTCCCAATTTTAACTCCAATTAAAATTAAAATTTATTGAAAATTCCTCAAATCCCTTACAACAAGCTGAATTTTCCATCAAATTGAACAAACAAAGCTTATTTTATTTTCTCAATAAAATCACAACAAACTTTCATAATATTTTTTATTTTTCAAAATACACAAAATTCGAATTATTTTTCAACACAGAGCCAGAAAAAAAAGCCAGCTCAAGTCCAAATTAATTATTTCGTACATTCAGCAAACGGCAAAAAAGCAGCAAGATTTTCTCGTTCATCAGACAGAAAAAGTCGAACAAGGAAAAATGTCAAAAGAATCTTCAACTTTAATCCCGAAATTGTACAATTTCTTATCAGTAAGAGACATTGATGCCTCGAAAAAGTACTTTGGCACTGATGGACTTAGCTATGAGAAATTACGTGAATATCTTACACGTTTCGGAATCAAGTTTGATGACAAAGACTTTGAGATTTTGTGCCTTAAAATTGACATGGATCGTGACTGTCGAGTCAAATTTCACGAATTTATCAGTTACTTTATAACGGAATTGCAAAACGATGATAAAGATGCTGAGCAATTGTGTATAACACCACCGATTGCGGAGTCAGCAAAAGTTTTATCGACAAAACAAGACATAGAGTCATTGCGAGTTTTTTATATTCCACCGAAAATAGAAACGACTGAAGAGCAAGAACTGATGAAAATTCTCCCACCATCATTATCATCCTTAGCATCACCGTTGCCTGAATCAATGATGACGACGATAGAAGAAAAAAGCAAAATAATTTCAGATGGATGTTATTTATTGATTGGATGCTATGGTGAAGTATACGTTTGGTCATTTGACTGGAAATTAGAACAAGTCATCTATGTTGGTAAATTTTTCATTCATTAACTCAATTAGCTGTGTATTGGAAATTATTGATGGATGTTCGGACATTGTTTGATTTTGATTTTGCTAGTTTGTACATATTTGGATGGAGAGTTGAGAGGAGAGAGGAGCAGAGGTGGAACCTGGGTACTTGTGCCTAAACATTGCCTCTCGTCGATATATCATTCTTTTGACATTCGCTTATCTAAGTGATGACTTAGCTAAGTCAAAAACAATCTTGCTACAGTTCTAGCAACTCTGCTGGAAAGTAATCCAACACAACCACTAAAATTTGAGGACATACAATACCAAAACCTCAATTTGATGCTCATTTCAATTTACTAAATTCATCTCGTATCTCCCAAAAGATATCACGGCATGCATCCTATAATTATCATTCCTTTCACTCTAATTAATTGGACAGACTATAAACAAAAGTACTTTTCAATCAACACCCACTCATCAATCCAACAAAACAATGAACCCGTCAATTCAGCAACATTCACAACAAAAAAAATATTCAATTCTCTTCATTTTAATTTACAGATACAGTTCCTGGTACATATTCTTCAACGATTGAAATGTCCGACATACAAAACATTAAAAAGAATCCAAAACTTCTCATCCTCGATGCAATTGTGATGACAAGCATGAACATCATTTGCATATCATCTATATGCTGTGATTTACGATTCTACGACATATCGATTGCTGGCAAATGCGATTTGAGATTGTACATTAGAAATTTTCCCAGTCCATTAAATACTTTTTACTATTGTGAAGAATTGATTAACAACGACGATGATGACAATGATGACATGAAGGAAAATATTTCTCGTCTCATTTTCGGTGATTTTGTGGGCACTGTACGAGTGATTGATTTCGAAAAGAATTTCAAATCAAATTTTCGGATGGGCGCAATGATTCGACAAATTTCGTACGATGAATTAATGGAGGTAAGTGCCAGTGATATAAAATTGAGAATAGAATAGAAACAGTGGTGAAAAAAGGCTTTTTGAAGGGTCGATTGTTAATGCTGTCTATTATTAAATGGGATTTTAGATGTAACTTCCTCATTACTATCTCACTTTACATCCAAAGCTGGTCAGACGTTTGCTTTTAAACTCTTTAGCTTCCGTAAGGACCTCTTGGTACCGCAGCATTACCCAAGAGGTTCTAGAGTATTTTTATGGTTTCAAAAGCATTATGAAGTGCCATAAAGCTTAAGACCCCTCTAAATTCTATACGTCATAAAAGCGCGACATCTCAGAATTAAATATCAATATCTAGGTCTATGAAGCTCGAAACTATAAACTTCAATTAGCACAATCAACTCTCAAAGTCAAATTTACATCCTCCATACCCTCAAAACTTTCAAACTCGTCTCCCATTTTGACCCTGATAACATCCACATTAGATTGATGGATGAAAATATCGACAGAAAGAGATTAATGTTCATTTCCACTTTGTTGCTGCTCCAACTGCTGTTTGATATTTGTTGCTATTGACAGTTATTTAGTTTATTGTTCGATAGTTTTAGCCCAAAACCATTTCTTCTTCGTGATCTTTTTGTTTGCTACTTTTTGTACCTTTTTTTGGATGTCTGTTTCTGTCGATGTTTTTTCTTCCTTCATTTTTCTTCTTGTTTCTCGCATGACACGTAAAAAGCAAGAATAAGAAAAATATAGAAAAGAGAAAAAAAATACTTTTACGGAATTAATGTTCATCGAGATAAAAAGGACTTTGGTTATTCCGCAGATGAAAAAAAGAAGCTTAAAGGTACATGAAAAAAATCGAAGAGCATTAAATTCTATTGGACAGAAAAATCAATAATTTAGCAAATGTTTTTCTCGCATGCTTCATACATTTTTAGTCTTCATGAAACTCGTATTTTTCTGTCTGGTTTGGTCCGACACGTGGGTGTCTTGTGAGATGTGCAAATTAAGTTTTTCGCAACTTTATTTAATATGATTTGGACATGATTTCACATGAATACTATATTTGAGCTTCCTGTTAATTATTGGACACGTGCTGAACTTGGATCGTGCATTGATTTTATTTATGTTAAGGATGTTTGTACTTTATTTACGTTGAAAACTAATTTTTTACATGTGGTTTAAGGCCCGAATAGCACAAGTCGCTCATTTAATTCTGGCATGGTGCTGGATTTAAATCGAAGCCACTCGCACCATAGCTTGGTCCCGAATTTCTTCACCTTATTAGTTTATCCATTTGCCAACTTGTCTTTTAGTCGTGTCTTATTTGGTAGAAAGTCTTCAAATCCAGCATGTGGGAAGCATAATTAAGTTCTGTTGAGTAGATATTTTTGGAGGTGTTGACAAAGGTATTTTGGTACAGATATTGAGAAATTCATTCCATTTATAGACCCACTCATCATCAGCCAACACAGTTTGAAGTATAATGTACAGCTCAACATTTGTCTGTTCTGAATCAATGACGAGTTCAAAATTGTTATAGCATCATATGAATACGATGTCTATTTAGTGGGCACAGACATATTATGTGTAAAAAATTGTGATATGAACAGGAATGAATTTCTATAAAATATAAATGCGAGAATTCTTTAGCAAGGAAATTGTTGATTTATATGTAGCTTGCTGTAATTTGTCCAATTATTTTGAAATTAATTTCATGTCCCCGACACAAAATTCCATATAAATTGCATCGTTTATAATTGCCTCGTATTTTCATGTTTGATGACGGTTTGACAAACAAATTCATGAAAACTTGTGCACACAAACGATTTGGTTCAATATGCCCGTGCACGAAAAATTCCTCCATAAAGCTTTCCTCTGCTCATTTTCTCAGAAAATACTTCCAACAAAATTTGCTATCAAAAAGCCAAACTGCCTCAAAAACTGAAGAATTTCAATTTATTTCAATTAAATTAAATTCCTCATTTTCGTTAGAAGAGAAATATTTTCATGACAGGAAGGAAATGAAAAAAATATATTTTCTCTCAACTCCTACAAACTTTCTCATTTTGTATCCAGGGATATTTTGATACGATGAAATGCTTTGAATTTATGTATCTGCATAGCGACATAATTCGTCAAGTTTCATTCTCAAACAACTTAAATAGCATAATATCAGCATCTGAGAGTACATTGACATCGGATGCTTACCTGCCGGGCGTCATAATTACCAATCTTAGCATTCAAAAGTCTCAAACTGTCTTCAAGATGAACAACGTAAGTTAACTCGAGCGGAATTTCTTTCATTTCACTTAAAAACTTTTTCATTTTCCATCATCGCTGCCTATCATCATGCCTTCAAAATATTTTTATGTACACAACAAACAGGGCACGACATGTTTTGCTCTTGACGAAAGTTCACAAACTTTGGCAACAGGTGAGACAACAAAAACAAAAACTCTTATACCTTTCTTCATTTGACTTCACTCGGATGCCAAAACTTTCATATTTATCCTCATGCTTGAATTATGCCCCAACACTTGACCAATTTCTACTTAATTAATTTTCATATAGAGAGCTTATTTAGCGCATTCCACTTAAAGTGAAGTGCAGCCTTAGTCTAAATGATATGATCAGTTTCTAAAGGCACTTCATCCCACCATATCGACAAAAAAAACTTTAACATCTCCACAAATAATTTTCATAAGTAAAAAAACCTTTTCATGCCGGTAAAATGAAAGGCACTTCCTTCTACCCTCCTCAAAAAAAAATTATTATATCCATCGCCACACTTTTTTTTTCGTTCCTTTTCTTCATTTAATTAATTCACAAGTCCCTTTTTGACGATGAAGATGAGGAATAAAACTTTCACACTTCCAAGAAGAAATTATAAAAGAAGGAAAGTCAAGCAACATCATTTATAATTATCGCATTGAGCCTTCACTTCCCCAAAAAAGAAAAGCTCATCAGGCGGTAATAAAACTCTCTCATTCCATTTTCAACAGGTGGACCTGATACCATTTTGAGATTATGGGATATCAAGGAGCCATCCATACCGAAGGCTATTTTAATTGGACACACGGCTGGCATTGTCTACATCTTCTTTCAAGATGATTCAAAATTATACACGATTGATAAGTTGAAGGTGAGGAGATGATGGGTTTATAAGATTATTTTTGGCTGAGTGGACATAAATTCGAGATGCAAATGTGAATGGAAAGTGTGATAGATTTATGGCAGCTGCAATGCTGTTGTGTGTTCCATTCAGAGCTTGCGTACCGAATGAATGAAATGGTAATCGATTATGGGTAATTGAATCAGTGATTTTCAATCCAATTTACAGAATTGCAGGCTGTTGTAAGAGTGATTTTTGGTGATTCAAGAAGAACTTTTTGAGCTATTTTAGTTATTGTTGTAAGGAACAATTTATCAGAGTAAATATCCATTGTCTGGCATGCATAGTTGTCAATTTATTAAGAATATCAAAAGGTTGCAACGAGGAGGTCCTAGATTTTATGAGCTACAACCAGTTGAGGTTCAATCCAACGACCTAGATGACAACTCTGAAAAAAAATAAACAATTCAAATTTCAATTATTAAATTAATATCCGAGCTCACTTAATTCAAAATGACAATTCCAAAAATAATCACAAGCTCATTAAATGAAAAAATTTCCATAAAATCATGCTGACGTAATTCAAAAAAAAATCCATTTGATAATAATCTCAATGACATGCGATTTCCCATCATTAATAAGTGAATCAAAATAAAAAGTTTGAGTACATCCCACGCGAACACACATTACATTCATTCGGAAGCACTTAAAACTTATATTTTTCGGAAATATGAAGCTAATTACTTTCCGTCTTTTGAATTAAAACTTCTTGTTCTACTCATTTCATTTCCTTTTCTTTTTCATCCCATAAAATCCAAAATCTAGTTCATAAAAATCTGGAACGTTGAGCTGGAGAGCTTACAGCAAACATTTGCGGGCCTTAAGCCAATTTTTCCAAAAGATTTACCAATAATTACATTTTACAATGATGCAAAAAGAGAGTTGATTGCATCTGGAAAGAGAATTGCCACATTGAAATGTAATCCACGCATAAATCCAGACACATCCGATGGCATAACACATACGACGCCTGTTACATTAATACTGTTCAATGAACTCTATCAGTTCCTTGCTAGTTGCGGCTCCGACAGCACTATTATAGTATGGGATTTGTGGCGAGGTCGAAAGGTGAATTGGATTTTCCGAGCACATACAAAGTTAGAGCATGGTGAAGTCGTAACAATTAAAATTTCTGCTGGGTGCTTTGACACTAAACATCAATACTTATTGACGGGCGGTGAGGATGGATCAATGAAAATATGGAATATGAATGAAGGCCTTTGTGTTCGAACGCTTCGCGTTGATTCCTTCGTTAGAAATGTTTTCTGGACTAATAATCGAATTTTTGCAATTAGTGACATTGTAACTGAGTTTATTGACAACAACGATTACAAACAGCAGATTAATATTGGAAAAATTTGGACAAGTTATCATGCTGGAAAAATCACATCTGCTTCATTACGTTATCCCGATGCTGTCGTCACTGCCTGCTGTCATGGTGATTTGATTTTTTGGAATTACGAAAATGGTCAACCATACATGAGATTCAATATGAATATGCCTACACAACGACTGCAAATTGTTTATCAAAAAAATAATAACATAAAAACGTAAGTGCCTTAAGACATTTTTGAATTTTAAACATAAACATGAGTTTGTGAAAGAGTTATGATGGTAAAAGATGAAGAATGTGATGGAATATGATGAAGCATTTGTGCTGCTTATTTTATTCTCTTCTCCTTCTTCGGATGTATATTTGTGTATAGAAGAAATCGGTTCGAAGTTTTATGAAATTTTGTTGGGATTTAACCATTAGGTTTGTCTGGCAACTCAATCGTAGTTGATTGTGCTTAAATCCATTGTAGGTGGTTTAGGGTTTCAATCCTTTGGATCTTCTTAAACCATAAATCAAATTTTATTAGAATCTAATGCATAATCATAACAAAATTACCCCTTGATGGTCCCTTACCTCAGAAAAAAAACCAAAACATTCACAACTGCGTTACCAGGCAATAGCTTACATAATCCTTCATACCAAAAATTCATTTTTCCTCTCTTCTGTCTTCATCGAAAGAACCTTGAAAGCTTTTTTTACTTTTTTTTCTGCTCTTTTCGGAAAAATATCAACAAAAAAAAAGAACGAAGTTGTTTAGGCAGAAAGCAAACACACAAGCACATAAAGCAGATTCTTTTTCCAGCGATGAAAATGTCGTGAAAACAACAATAACAAAAAAAATCCTCGCTTTAAAATTCAGAAGAAAATTGAGAAAAGTTAAAATGTTTTCTTGTCGATGACTGTTTATCAAATTCGCTGTTTCGAGTTTCAGTTTTGAATATCTGCTGGGGATTTATGGATCGTAAACAGGCTTTGGTGGTGGGGTGTAACAACAGAGTTTTGGGAAAGAGAGGAATAGGAATGTGTTTCCATGGAACTTGTTGTTGTGAAAAGTAAATTTTTCGTACGAAATGTTCCAGATTCTAAATCATCCTATCCCGAAACCTCCTCACACATCATATCCCTTTTATACTTAAATGAAGCATATGTCACATCCCGAAATTAATCATTTTTCCATCAATTTTTTTGCTTCTTAAATTTCATGACTTTAAACCATTATAAGCACTTTTAGTGAGTCTCACTGACATCCATAACCCACAACGATTAGTTTGTAATCTCAAGTTCGGCTTTATGTCTACAAATATGTACCAATATGCATATTGAGAAGCAATTTGCATATTGTAATTTTATTTATGTACAGCCATTGGGTGTGTGGCACAAGCAATCGTATAGATTTGTAAATACACACGACATACACATTGTTGTTTCGATAAATAATGCAATGGCATGCAGTAACAATGGTAAATGACTGTAATATTTGATATGATTGTAGCATATGATGCGTATTAAAGCCACAATATTTGTTGGTTATGAAGATTTATGAGCTGGAGTTTTTTGTTGTAAGATGAATTTGTTTTTTATTGATGTTGGGAACTTGAAACGACATGAAAGTGGATTTGTGATAATAGTTTGGGCATCAAAAACTTAAATAGCCAGATTTAAATTTACAAGCCTATATTTAACTTTAAATGTTAAGCGCTACAACTTGTGACATCCATCAGAGTTGTAAAGCTGTAATCAGAACAATTCCCTAAGGTCAGACCATCCATTCTCGTTACATTATGCAATCACATCCATTGCAGCGCTTTAAAGCATAAATTTTTATTCACATGGCAACTTTTGTAAAATTTAATTCAATGATTTATTAACTTTATTGTGCTATTTTTATTTTTTAAATGCACAACTGACTCAATGTTCTGTGAAAAATTATTATTGAGGCAAATGGTAAGCTTCAATATATTTTAAGGATTGAATTTAATTTAGTGGAGAGTTGAGCGTTTGTGGTTGGTACTTTTTTGGGTCGGGAAAGGATGGTTTATGTCATGTGTAAAGAAAAGGGGTGATGTAGGAAAATTGAATAAAGTCTTCAGCAATAATTGGTGAGAAAAAAAATGATGTTTTGTTCACCATCATTTTCAAACGACCCCCAAAAAATCTTTCCATGCTTATAATAATCCAAAAATCTCTAATCCTTACTTGAATTTACTTCATTTCCTTCTACATCCACAAAGACCATAACAACAAGCCTTTTCATGATTTTTTTTATTTTTTTGCAGCTCATCATCAAGCAACGGATTCAACATAACATCACATTGCATGATATCGCTAAACAATAGACCATTACATGTATCAAATGGAACATTGCTAGTATCATTGTCGAATGGACGTATTCAAGTATGGTCGCATCATGACAATAGCAAATGTTATATCGCTGATTTCAATGCAATTCATGTGGCTGACGATGTCAGTAAGTGGTTAATTGATGTTCATTCTCTCATTTTTTTTCATGTACTGATTCTATTGATATGATGACTCTTCCTGATTTTCTTTTTTTTCTCTGCTTGCATGCATAACTTTACACTGCTGAATACATTTTTCATGCGATAAAAATTTATGCAAAAAATTTACAACAATTTTTTTTGGGTGCTGTGCATGACAAAAAAAAATCAACACATCGATACACTGGACATAACAAAATATATGAAAAATACTTCAGTCACAGCAATGGCAACAGACAGTGAAAATTGTTATTTATTCACCGGCTCATCGTTGGGATACATAAAATCATGGATGATTGTCGACTTTTGGTATGTTTTCAATGTTCAATTCTGTAGATGATTTGGAGTAGCAAACGTTTATTTTGTGTTTGGCTTTATATGGATTGTTGGTTGTTTTACTATTCAGTCTGGCTTTATATGACTTCTTTTAGTGATGTTAAAAATGTATTTGATTAAAAGTTTAGCAATAGATCTTGAGTTGGGGATAATTGACGCATTTTTAAGGAATGATAGTTAAGTAATTTATAATATTCATGAGGTTTAGTCGAGAGTGGGATCCTGGTAAAATGTAACTCTCTTCCTGACCCTATTTTAATGAATTGAGGTAAGCGTCTTAAGGTAAGTTACGTTGATCTTGCTGACAAAGTTCAAACTGACAAAAAGTTTTCAATTTTTCCACAAAAAATTGTTCTGGTTAAGAAAAGTCACAAAAAAATCTTTAACATTTTACATGACGACTGTGGATATGAAAATAATATCATAGTGAGCAGTACAGACACATTTTAATAAGTGGAAGTGCTTGAGTTCTCAGTTTTTCACGTTTCTAGACTGGATTTACCATCTAACACTAAAGAATATCCACACAACCTCTCCATCAACTTAACCCCAATATCCTTAACAGCATAAACCAAACCAACGTTAATCCTCAGAGTAAAAATCACGTTTGGGTGCCATTCAATAAATTTTCTTTTTTAAAAATTGAATATTACAAATCAAAGGAACGATTCTGACGGAAACTACGATAATATATCAATGAACGTGCATGCTTGCATTTTTAACATGTACATATGTTATGCTTGTGATTTCCTTTCATGTTTAAATTTCACTTACAAATTCGCTCATGTAAAAAAATATTACAGATACAGGAATAGGGTTATGTATTTCTTATTATTCTGAATTAATTCAATATTATACCCCAATTTTTAAAAGGTCCAAAAGTATCCCATGAGTACGCTCATCCCACAAATATTCAAATAAATATTTCCAATTGAAAAAGATGAAAAAGGAAAAATAGAACCAAAAAAAATGTTTTACGTACGTGAGCTAAAAGCTTGTTATGCTTTCTATTTTATAAAAAAAAATATGATTCGTGCATGAAAGATGTATGGAAAGAAAATATGGATAAATATTTAAGTACATGACTGAGAAGATGATAGGTTGGAGATGAAGAAAATTTCATGCTTTTGATTTCTTTTCTTTCCTGTTTACTATAGGAAATAAAATTGTTTTTCTTTTCCTGAAATGCAAATATGGAAACTTTTTAATGATAATTTCTGAAGTACACGTGTATGAAGCACGTGTTTATTAATATTTAATTAATTATCTCTAATTGAATTATGATTGGAAAAAAAATTTTGAAAATTTTGAAAGAATATTTTTGTTTGGCTTTTTAAAAAAGGTTTGTTCATTAATGATGTTTTTAAAAAATAAAATATAGAAATCTCAAGCTTTTTCCTAAGCTGCTTTCTGGGCTTTCAATATTAATGTCGACTTTAAGCTATTTTAATTCTTCTTGACTTTCTAATTGTCATCATTAACGAATGATCCCCAAAAGTTGATTATGGAAGAATCAATACTCCTACTTAATTTTATTCAGGACTACAAAATACACAACTCAGATAAATTAAACACAATTCAAAAATTCCTCAGGACATGAAATTAATTAGACAAAAATTCTTCAATAATTTTACAAAACGTCAATTTTAAATTATTCAGTAATTATTGACAGGCTGAATATAATATTGGCGCTATATTGGCTATATTGGTGCTGAATATTAATATTAGCTATATTTTATTAATTTTGGGTATGAAAATAAAGAGCGGTGCACCAAAAAATCAAGCTGCTAGTCAGCCTAACTTACCAATATTCCTATTCAGTCAACAACATCACCTCAAGCTTCTTGTATTGTTTTTGAAAAAATCGCAAATAGTGAGCTTCAATACCATTAAGATAATTAAAAAGAGAACAGCTTTAAAAAAAACTTTCGTATCATCATTGCAGACTTTAGTAAAGTACTTACATAGAATATATTGAACTGAAGCAGAAGAAGCATCAACAATATTGTAAATAACATTAAGGAAGTGCTTAAAGCTTATTACAAAGTTTTCTTTTTAAAGTGACCGAGAAGCTTAGGAATGACTAAAATGCTTGATTTCTAGTACGATTCATTTTATAATTGTTAGGAGATGAAGACGAGGAGGAGAGGTGGGGGGGGGGGGGGGTATTTATCATTAATTACAATAATGTTCAAAAACAGTAAATCAGAACGAAACAAACTCTTACTTCAATTACTGAGTACTGAGCTGCTCGGTCAAGCAAATGATACTAAGACAGGAAGGAAATTTATTGAGAAAACTATATAAATTAATTAAATAATTTGATAGTAAGAAGAAATTGAGATGATTCAATTGAAACATTTCCTATAAACATCTAAAGACTT